CCATCATGTGTTATTCTAATGTTGAATCCAAAAATAGTGTAAAATAGTAATAGTCATAAGCAAATGCAAAAAAAAATTGTTTATATCCTCGAGATTTGAGTAATAATTTTATACGAGCGATAAAATAATAATTTGCTTAAATAAAAAAAAAAAAGTAATCATTTTTATTGGTCAACAATTTTCTTTCAGGTCCAGAAATTCCGTCTAGCTTTACGAAGAAAATAATTTTTACAACCATATCGATCTCCTCCCTTCTCTTAACCACCGTTTATTCAGCAAAGATTACCAGCTACATAGCCGATCTTAAGCCGCATCTACCGTTTTCGAGTCCCAATGAATTTTTTAATCTTACCCATTACAAGGTTATAGCACTCCGCGAAAACATAAGGGAGCAAATCAAGGTATGTTCACAGTTGTAGTAAATATTTTATAAACAATTTTTTTTTTTTTTTTGTACGTCCACACTCTTTTTTTCGCTAAAATGTGAATGTTTAATTGATCAAATTAGGACAGCCATAATTTGGGAGCATTACTCGGGTCTCGGTTAGTTAAATTTGAGAATTTGCCGACATCGGTGGAAGAAGGTTTCGAAATGGTAAGACCAATTTCACGATAAAAACGAAATTTTAGTTCATAATCACATAGTCAGCGATGTTTTTGATTTTTATCACCTTTGTTTAGATATGCAAGGATAAAGATTTAGCATTTTACCTGCATTTTAAACATTATGAAAAAACCTACAAATTTCCGTGCTTGGTCGACTCTGTGTCAATGGTACGCGAGCCTTTATCCATAATTCTACCGAAGGACAGTCCTCACAGTAAATTAATGGATAAGATGTAAAATTTACGACATTCGCTTTCACTCGATCCAAGAAAATATTGTTAATCAAATTTATTATGTTTTTTTTTTCCAGTATTCTTCGACTTAGGCTCGCAGGCCTACTTGAAAAGTTAAACAGGCGTCATTTTTCAACAACCAAGAAGGTAATCGAAAACGAGGTGAAAACAGTGTCGTTTTATCGAATTTGTCCACTTTTAGCCATTTTTCTGATAGGGTGCCTAGCGAGTTTGATCGTATTGTGCACGGAAATCGCCTTTCACCGTAAAAATCTAGCTGATCGCTTCGTGATGATTAAAGTGGCTTTGCACCGATTAGCTAGATAAATTACGCCAGACGTATTTATTTGAAAGATATAACTGCAAATTAATAATATTGCGCTTCGTGAAATAGGCAAATGTCTCACTAAACGAACGAAATATTTTCTTTACGTACATTTTTCACACTGTTAACAAGAACATAAAAAAACCGTTTAATATCATTTTTTTCTTAAATGACAGTAAAATAGAAGTTATTCAAAAATTATTTTGACTTGAAAAATGTTTTGATCATAAATTTTTTATAATAAATTTTTCACCAATCATATTACGTATCATTTCAGGTAAAATTTTAAAAAATAAGATAAAACAAAATAGGTTTTTCCAAGTCCCTGTTTTTTACTTATAACGATTTAAAGTGTGAGCCATTAAAATTATTTACTGTAGCAACATCTAAATCTATGCAAATATCACCATTATTTCATAACGAAAGTAACATTAAAAAAGTGTTTAAATAAATATTTTGATGTGCAAATTCATTTGTTTCGTTACTAAATAGATAACTTGATGATTTAGTTTTTTAATTAGTAGATATTTTAATCTTTTTTGTTTTAATTTAATTTTAGTTAGGTATTAACGGGTGGGATTTTATGCAGGATTTGGAACTGAAGAAGATGGAAAAAAATTACATTTACTATTTTTCTAGCGACATTTATTTGAACGTTTACATATGCAATCCAGATTTCGACATTAATAATGTGCACCTAAGTGTAAAAGAAAAAAGGAAAAAAAATAAAATAAAAATAAATAGATAAAGAATCAATGCATAGCTATTAATAATTTCTGTGAAATTGCGACTAATGGTTTGATGATTCAATGGCGTATTATCAATTGCGGGTGTTTGATAAATCCAAAAAAATTAAATAATGATTGAATTTATTTCACTNTTTTTATTTTATATTAAAAGTTGAAGTAACTTTATTGTTCTATAACATAATTTTACTATTTTGTTCGACGAAAGGATCATTAAAATTTTATTTATCATTATGTCGTGTCTAAATAATACAATTCAACTAGTTATTGTAGTATCATAAGAATTTTGGTGGACAAAATTTGAAAAATTTAATTGAAATATCGATAAAATAAGTTGATTAATACATTCCTCCATCAAATTACGGTGATTATTTTCAGACTATCGTTTTAAAATCTAATTTAAGTAAAAAAAATAAAATAAAATAACGTAATACGAACCGATCGTTTGGAGCATCATGTATGCTCAGTATTACTTTCATTTTAAAGTGATCGAAAAAAAAAAAAAAAAAACAGTTGAAATTAAAACTGCGCGTTCGCTTTATATCTGCGTCTTGATACTTGAAAGAAAAACGAGCACTTTTTATTTAAAGAAAAGTATCAGTCAAAAAAATCAAGCACAAATTCTTATGAGTTAAAATAAAAAAATGAAAATTTTAAGAGTCATCGTTTTATCATTAAATTGAAATGGACAAAAAGTATTTTTGACAATTGATTTTAACATTCACATATGCGTGTTTTCCTTGAGCTTAAAATAAAAAATATATGAATCCAATTATACTATTTATCAGTGATTCGTTTTTAACACAAAAATATTCATGATTTAGTCATCCAAAAGACAGCAGTTTTAACGAACGCGTCATGCAAACTACGTTTTCACCGACAAATCGATTGTTGTCGACGTCGTCCTCGTCAGCTATGAGCAACGAGCTCCATAAAAAAAAAGAAAAAAAGAATAGCATAAAATTTTGAAATTTTTCTGCGGATCTCTTCGCCAAATATTATGCAAGTCCGTCAACAATATATTTATCCGCAGGCCAATTTAAAACCAATGAGCTTGAAACACCCGACTTTCGCGAGTCAAATTTACCGCGCAGTTACTGTCCGCCGCGCGACTCTCAACTTTCCCACCTACGAATCCGACTTATACTTTAAACGAGCCCAAGTTACCGTCACGATGTTACCCTCTACTTTTCACTATCTATAGCCATCCTCGAGCATAACTTAGAGTAGACACAAAATCGTAGAGGCCCTCCTATCGTTGATATGTACAGGTAGAGTCCAGAATTCGAAAAACTAATCCTAGTACTTAGAGATTTGGAATTTAGTCAGCGTAACGTGTATTCACTATTATTTTTCAGAGTAAAATTAAAAAAGAGCAACAAGAGTTTGGGACATTCTTTGGTTGGTTAGTTCAATTAAATAGGTATGTTTACTTGTCATCAATAAATTAGATACGTGCGTTTAAAATTTTCAAAAATGATTTCGATCAGCGAATAAAAAATCAAATCAACAATGAAAAAAAGGAAAGAAATCTCAACTAGATGTGTCCTGGAGTAACTAATCGATTTGAAAAAAAAAAAAAAAAAAAAAAAAAAACAAAGAGTCCCCTACGATTTTGTGGCCAGCTCGATCGTTAGTTCCTACAACTATATGTTGAACCAGCACATGTCCGAACCTCGTGGTTTTCTCGCAAACCAGCTCGTTTACTTACATACACACACATTTTAACTACGGACAGAAGAAAGAAGGAAAGAAAGAAAAGAAAGAAGCACGTGAGCTCCTCCCGACATTCTTACGTTATATTCTAGCCCTTAGCCACCTGCAGTGGCCCCCGGCAATTCTCGCGCTACCCTCGTCCCCTTCGAGACCGAGAGAGCTATACGGAGGAAAGAAAGATAAAGAATTGAATGAAAATGAGAAACTGACGGGGTCACTGGCGTTAGATGTTACATACTTAATGAACTATATCCGCACGCGTGCGTGTGAACTATCGCGCGCGGGGTCTATAGTTTGGCTCTCGAGCACTTTGCAACTCCGTTATCATTGCAGCAGTAACAGAGAGTAGTATAGTAGTATGGTAACAGTGGCTCTCCTCCTTTTTACCATATAGACGCAGCTATAAGGAACGAGAGACCTGGCACACTGACTTACCCACTTATACGCAATAGGCGCGCGTGTAACGCGACGAGATGTCGATTAAACACGTGAGAGCCAAGCTGATGTTATTTGTTTTGTTTTGTTTTGTATGTTTTTGTTTTGTTTTTTTGTTTAAATTTTTGTTTTGTAAGCTTGTTGTTTACGTTTCGTTGTTCTTAATCAAGAGAGTTGTTCGCAAGAGTGTGAATCCCAGAGGCGACCGTGAGGTGCGCCCTTTCAGCAAGATCGGGGCTCTTCAGACCCAGGGCGTCCAGCCTTCGTAGAGTAGGGCCAGGTTCTCGGTGCTCTGGGCCTCCCGTATCACGTACTCTACCTGCTCAGAGGTCGTGTACTTGCGGCTGGAATTCGGATCGCGACCCTCTAGTTTCATCCGCACCCGTCGCCACACGTTCAATGCGTAAGCGTTGCGCTCTTGCACAGCTAAAGAAGAAAAAAAAATGCAATTAACATGTATAAAACCAACGGCAAAAAGGGTATATAGTGCCCTCAAACGACAAATCACCTTTGCCAGTCGTTGGATCTCTCGCCAGTGTGATGGTTTTCCTCGGGCTCAAGCAAACGCTGTCCTGCCTCATGAGCTTGTTCCTGTTGAACGAAAACTCGGGCACGTTTTGCTCGTTGGTAGTCTCGTTGGCGAACGACAGCAGCTCGTCGTAAAGCGCGGGTGTTTTGATGGCCAATACCTCGAGTTCCATGTTAAGCACGGCAGCCTTGATGGGATCCAGATTATCGGATTCCAATTCCTTGATCGTGGCTGAGAGGCTCTCGGTGCACGATCTGTAACTCATCAGGAACTCTTGCAGTCCAACGATGTTCTCCTGCTTGGCCATGCTCCTCAGCAACATTCTAACGTCGTTCATGAGCCTATGGTGCTCAGCGATGATGGACTGCAACACGACGACCTGTTCCCTGAGGGCTTGCTGGCTCGTGACCAAGTCCTCCTGTCGTTCCTGGCTCTTCTTCTGCGCTTCGACTATCGCGTCCGAAATTATCTTCTCGGTCTGCCTCAGCCAGTTTGCGTCGATGCTGTTGTCCATGCCAATGTGCAACAACTCGACCAGGCTCTCCTCAACCGGCGACACCGATATCGTCAGGTTTATCGTCAGCAGGCAACTTTCCTCCCACCGCTTGATCAGTTTCACGAAGTTGGCGTCGTTGGCGAGTCCCTCCTGGGTCCTCGTGCGCAACGCCTCGTAATGCAATATCGTGTTCGAGGTATTGACGACGATGGCCGACAGATTGGCCATGCGCGCGAGTTTCTCGCAACTGGTGATCACCGCGTTGTCAAAGGCAGCCATGACTTCGGTCAAGGCGGGATTCGCACCGGCTGCCCACTTCAAGCGCTGCACGGCGCTCGTCACGAGGCTCTGCTGCTGTTCGCGCGCCTCGTTGACGCGCGCCTGCAAGTTTGACAGGCCGGTCGCTGTTTTCCGGAGCTCCAGCATAAACGACGGACGATCTGTAAAGACAATCACACGCTTAACCATTAGTTTTGCGCAAACGCACAAATATTACACGAGCTTACTGAGCGGATTGATGGGGTTCATGTTCATGCCGATGAGCAGGTAATCCTCGTGGAGCCAGTAATGGGCAGTGAGCTGCAGTTGGAGTCGCTGGACGGTAGCTCGGGCGACGTCGACCGCCTGCTGGGTTGCCTTGGCGCTCTGCTTGCGCCTCCAGCTGCTCTCCAAGGTGTTGCTGTGAGCGTTGGCCTGGGCCAGCACCGAGCCGATGAAGAGGCCGCGCTTCAGGCCCATCTCGACGAGCTTCCGACACAACTCCTCGAGGGACACTTTGCTCTCGGCACCGATGTCCCGCTGCTCGATCTCCGTCGTCACGTTCAGGCCCATGCGCTGGAGCAAATAGCACAGGGCTATACCGAGACACTGCGAGGTGACGCCAATCAACTGACGGGACACGTAGTCGGCCGTGAACACGCGGATCGGTTTGTTCAGCTGCTCGTCGTTGTAGACTCCGAGTAAGCCGCCCTCGAAAATGCTCGCGGTTTCGCCGCGATAAGCGAACGCTATGTCTCGGCACATCGAGAAGAACTTTTGGATCGTGTGCAGGCGCTTGACCAAGAATATGTCGTCCAGCACTTGTCGCGCCGCTTCGTTGAATATGGGAGCCGCCAGTTCTTTGGCGTCCCGAATCTGGTCGATTTTCTTCCAGCTCACGGGTATCTCGAGCGAACTGAGGGTCCCGATGAGGGCGTTGCCTTCCATCTGCAGCTTTTCGAACAGACCGTTGAAGCCCATCAGTAGCATCTGACCGGGGGTCAGGGTCTCCTCCTGGTTGATTTCTTGGAGATCCGATGGCCGCGACAGTAGAGCCTCGAAACGGATTCTCAGAGTAGCCACGACCGACTGCATAATCGCGTGCGGGCTCTCCATCTCCATGATCGTGAATCTGGTCGGGCGTATTGAAATTTCGCGTCAGAAATCAACGGGTCAAACAAAAAAATAAAATGTACAAATTACCTGAGGTGCATCTCTAGCTGTTCCATGATTTCCATCAATGACAGTCCAGTCGAGGCTATAATATCGTCCAACTCGTTGACCATCTGCGTGACGGTCGGTTCTTCGGTGATGATAGTCTTGGTCGCTTCGGGCAGTATGATCGTGTGGAAATTGTAATTCAACTCCTGCAGGCCCTTGTGAATGCTGTCGGCGCTCTTGAGGCACTTGGTGACAAAGTCGATGTTCGGCTCGTTGTTGGCCTTGTGGTTCTCGGGAACGAGCGAGACGAGCTCAATTATCAGCGACGACATCAAACGCATCTCGTCCAGGAACCAGTCGCCTTCGCGAGACGTCAGATCGACCAGACAGTCGCCCGCGCACTTGGCTGCTCCCTCCATCATGAGGTACCTATCGATGACATTTTCAAGACGATCAAAACACTTAATCACAATTTGGGGAGGAGGAGGAGGAGGAGGGGAAGCACCCACTTTTTGTTGAGCGAACACAGCAAAGAGATAACGACGCACTCGAGTGCCCTGTCCGCGCCCTTTTCCCTTCTCAGGAACGATGATATCTGGACCTTGGACTCGGCGTAAGCCTTCTCGATCCTGGTGAGTGCTTCCGGGAGGCCCTGGTTTATCATGGTCTCGTAAGCCTTGCTGAACTTGTCGTTCGCCTCGTTCAGGATGGCGTGTACCTGGTAGGAGAACGCGACGGTGCGCTGGACCTTGGGATTGGTCGCGGCGACGGGGGAGAAGTGGGTCTCGAGTTGGGCCAAAACTTCGTGACAGGTGTCGACGGTGCCGGTGTGCAGGAGCTTATTGGCCCAATTGTGGTGAGCGACCGTGCGGTGCTGGCTCAGGTGACTGAGCGGATACAGGTTGCAGATGGCCGAGTATTGGCTGAGCAGGTCGAGGCAGTTGCGCATCAGCATGGATTGCTGGACGGCCAATTGGGTCAGCTCGTTCTCCGATTGCTCGCATTGAACGATCATCTGACTCTGGCCAGCGTTTTGTAGGAACTCCTTCACGAGGTCGAACACGAGGTGGTCCTCTTGGATGGTTTGGCTGTTCAGTTCGGACAACCAGAGACCCAATTGGGGACCTCGAACTGCGCTCAGGGCAATCTGCGAGCAAAGGTGGTTCGATGAGCATTTCAGGAGGGGATCAATTTAGTGCAAACCTTCTTTTTTTTTTTATTACTTCATCATGAGGATGTAAGGATTGAAAAGCACAAGACTTTGGTAAAAAAGATTTCGGCCCCCCTCCCCCTACGCGCTCTTTTGCTCTTTCTTTTAAATACTCGTGAGAATTCTCGACAACCCTTTTTTTTTTTTTTTTTTTNNNTTTTTTTTTTTTTTTTTTTTTTTTTTTTTTTTTTTTTTTTTTTTTTTTCTCGTTATCCAAGGTAAGTACTCTATAAAATTTAAAATGGCAAAATGATAATATTTTCCGAGTTACAAGTGTGCAGCTGAAGGAGAATAGCGAAAATATTTCACTTTTTTTTTCAAGACAAAGAGAAAATTCAATAATACCATACAGCCATACACATAGAGGCCATTCGCGTGTTTCATGGCTCTTTTATGCAGTGTATTTTACACACGTAATATTATTACTGATTGTGTCTACATTATGTTTGACCCTTTGGCATTACTTTCTTGGAAATACTTTCATTATCTCATGTAGGTCAGTACTTACAACATTGAAATAGTGGGTTTGATTTTAGAAAGTGCTGTGATTTCCACATTTAGATAAACGAGTGGGTTATCAACAACGACAAGTGTAAAAAACCAATAATTTGGAGGGAAAAAAAATGAATAAAACTTCAGCTCACGTTGTGCGTGGTGATTTGCTTCTGGCAGTCGTCGACGCGTTCCTTCAGTCCGAGTTTGGCCTTCTCCAGGACGTCCTTGGCGCGCTTGAAGGCGTTGTAGCGCTTGGCCACGCTGTAGAGCGCGTGATTGCGACCCATCGCTTGGGCTTCTTTTACAAGGGCCAGTTGCCTGTGACGATCTTGCAGGGCGTCCTGACACTGACGGGAAGCCTCGCACGCTTCGATCCACCTGATGTGTGTGAATTTTTATTTTTAATTTTCTTATTTTTCTGGACTAACAACTTGCTTCCGATCATGTTTTTTTGGGTTTTTGTGCTGGTTTTGATTTTTTTTCAGTCTTTGTTCCTATTTTTGAAGAATTACAAACGGTACAGCTGTTTTTCTATCAATAAAAATCCAAACATCATGAATAAAAAAAAATAATAATAATGATAAAAACTTATTTCACAAAATGTAAATTGGCTGATCAAAAGATCTTTTTTGGAGAAATAAATAAAGGAGAATACTCAGAATAATATAATTGGGCTTTAACTGCGTGAAATGTAAGAAAAAAAAAAAAAAAAAAAAAACCAGTTTTTCGTCACTAAAATTTTAACTCTTCAAGGACAAAAACATTGATTCACGATTCATTTGAGATAGGACATATACAAAAGCAAAAACCTAAAAAAAAGACCTTAAGAATGCAAAAAATCATGTATCCTTCATACAATTTTTTTTAAAAACCGAGTTTTTATCACAAACCAAAGTCTTTTTATTTTTCGTAAGAAAAAATATGACTTTAAAAAAACTTGATCGTTCGTTAATATTATTGGCAAGTCTATGAAAAAATTATCGAGATGCACAAGTTATTTATACCTTTTTTTTATGAAAAACCACATTTTTTCAAAAACCAAAGTCATTTCATTTTTCATACGAAACAATAAGATATTTCAAAAACTTGATTATTCGTTAATATTATTGGCAAGTCTATGAGAAAATTATCGGAGTGCACAAATTATTTATACCTTTTTTAATGAAAAACCACATTTTTTCAAAAACCAAAGTCATTTCATTTTTCATACGAAACAATAAGATATTTCAAAAACTTGATTGTTCGTTAATATTATTGGCAAGTCTACCAGAAAATTATCGGAATGCACAAATTATTGATACCTTTTTTATTAAAAACGAAAATCAAATTATTTTTCGTAAAGATGGAATAAACCAAAAAAATTTCGCCAAAGTGGCGTATACCTGCTGAGCCGATGACAGAGGGCGGGAAAGCTCTTGGCAAGCTCTTCCTTGTTGGCGAGCCACTCGGCCCTCATCTCGGCTATCCTCACGGCAAACATCGCGGTGGTGAGCTCGAGCTCGAGCTGTTTGCGCCCGGAGCCGGTGCACCTAGCGCGCGCCTGACAAGCACCGTAACTCGCCACCAAGCTGTTGTTCTCCGCACCGGCGCGCCAATCCACGAGGGGGTCGTACACGAACGCCTCCAGGAGGGTCAGCAGGGTCTCGCGGCCTCGGCGCATCACGCGCAACGTGTGCTCGCACGCCAGGCGGAATATACCCTGGAACAATGTCACGGTATTGATTTTTTTTTTGTTTTTGCTGGGCACGGTTTTTTCAAGTATATATTTATATATATATGTATGTAATGCGATTTTTGAGAAGATGACAAAGTACCTCTTGATATGTTTTAATTTTTTATTTATTTATTTATTTTTTCTAAAAAAACTGTTTCTTTTGGATGAAAACCATCAAGTCACTGTTATTTCTTATTTATTTGCAAGAATTTAAAATTATTGTGTATGCGAATTGTTTCAAAAATGTTCATCAATTCAACTCGTTAAAGTAATAATTAATGCAACATTATCTAGTAGTTTTTTGTAGAAAGATAATGAAAGAAAAAAAAACAAACAAACAAAAATGTAAGTGTGTCAATAATTATTTATTAAAATATTATGTTACGAAATAAATGATTATCAATTAACGGTAGAAGTGTAATGTTAAAAAAAAAAGATTTTATTGACATTAATTTAATTTAAAAAAATTATTTTTCTGAATCAAGTATTATAAAAAAAATTGTTTAGGTCCAAATTAACAAGGTGCAGTTTCCGTTAGGAATGTTTTATATAGTGTTTTTCGCTTGATGACTTTAAAAAAATGTTTGTTATTGGCCTGAAGAAATTCAAGGGGCATTTTATTTGTGGTACATCGAAACATCAACCTCAAAATTCTGAAACTAAGATTATAGATTTTCAGGGGCATAGAAGTTCAATAAACTTTTAATTCCCTCGGTTTCGACAAGGAGTAGCTGTGATTAATCCACCACTTTCAAAAAAGTCATTACAGCTGTACTTTGGACTATAATCGGCTTTAAAGTTTAATGAACTTTATTGTAGACTTCTGATTTGACGGTCATCGACATGTAGGGGGTGATGCATCTAACTCGACACTTTCTAAGCTTGACTTTCTTTAAACGCACATGTCCTTTTTTAAAGTAATTGATGAGAGTCTTGTATGTTTTGTTGTAAGCCGGAAGCTGTCAAGTTTTAGTTTTATATTTTTTTATTTCTTTTTACGTACGATAGTGTGTTGTATTGATCGAAATGTTGTATATGTACTGTATTTACAAATTTTGTATTAATCTAAGAAAAAAAAAGAAATTATAGCGTTTCATCGCTTTTATTATGTTATTCGCTTAAACAAATGAATAGTGAAAAATAAGTTTTCAATAAAAATTTATGTTACGTATATTTTTGACAATCTAAAATCAAACGATTAAACCATGCACTAAATTAATAATCGTATTCTATTTTGACAGCCATCGAATGTGTTTTTGTATCGAATATGTTCGCTTGAGGAAAAAATTTAATAAAATAGTATCACATTAGATCATTTTTGTGGTATAAAATTTCATTTAAATTATTNTTATTTATACTATCCTGTTTTTCAATTATTATTAATTATTTCATTATTAAAATAGAAAAACTCTTGTACATTTTTTTATTGACGCGCAAAGTAGGTAAAATAGCGATAAAATTATAAATTTTCAACTTGAGAGGATTATAATATTCCTTCTCGCAGAAATTTGTTTAAAAAGTATGAGAAACTCATTAAATCACTATAAGTAGATATCAAAATTTTTATAAGTCAAACTTTATGGTCTTCGAGAAATTAAACAGAAAACATTTTCGAATTAAACGCATAAAATCGAATATTTTAAAGGCATTACTTAAATTTTCAGTGATTGTAGTTCCATTGTTTTAAAGATTCATTAATACAAAATAATTACATATTATATTTGTGTATTTGTACATTTATATAATTGTGAAAAAAAAAAATTAATAATAATAGAATTGCCT